TTAGAAAGTATAACTTGGGGGTACATTTACTTTCTTTTTTTTAAAATATATTTTTATTGATTTCAGAGAGGAAGGGGGAGATAGAGAGAGATAGAAACATCAAAACATCAATGATGAGAGAGAATCATTGATTGGCTGCCTCTCACACGCCCCCTACTGGGGATTGAGCTCACAACCCGGGCATGTCTAGTATATGCCCTTGACCGGAATTGAGCCTGGGACCCTTCAATCCACAGGCCGACACTCTAGCCCAGTGGTTCTCAACCTTCGTAATGCCACAACCCTTTAATAAAGTTCCTCATGTTGTGGTGACCCCCCAATTTCATTGTGACAAATTGAACATAATTAAAGCATAGTGATTAATCACAAAAACAATATGTAATTATATATGTGTTTTCCGATGGTCTTAGGCGCACCCTGTGAAAGGATCGTTCGACCCCACCCACTGAGCCAAACCAGCTAGGGCTTGGGGGTACATTTAAAGACTCATCCGTTCATCAGTTTCCAGGGGCATCTCCTGGTAACCTACCTTGATGTCTGGTCATACATGTATTCCTCGGCCCCGACTGAAGCACTCCGAAATTTCTACAAAATATCCAAGTTATAGAAATTAAAACCAAGAAGTGAGTCATTATTACACATTTTAAAAAGTGATAAATGTATCCAGACTGCCCTGTCCTCACCTTAGAAAGGACAATTATACATTTTGGGTATTACACTTTCAGCTGCAGCGAAAAGGGCTGCCATTTGTGCCAGAACCCACACATCGCCCGCACAATGGGAACTGCCCTCAACAAAAAGCATCTGTACTTTGTGTATTACTCACGCGCCTGCAGGTGTTCTTAAAGTGTTTGCAGGTCCTGGAAACTGTTTCCTCAGACATATAAAACATCTCTATTACCTCTAATGCTTATTCCAAGTCAGAGAATTTGAGTTACTGGAACAGGAATTATACACATTATAGTCCAAGCATTATAGTAGAGTGGTTTGGAGCATAGTTTCTAGAGCAGGACTGTGTAGGGTCAAGTTCTAGCTCTCTCGCCTGCTGGCTGTGTGAACTGAAGCAAGGGCCATACTTTCTCCACCTGTAAAATGCCTGCTTATAGTGATTAGAAGGACTAAATATGCAAATGAAGTATAAGAACAGTAAGCGTTATACAGTGGAACCTTGATTTTTTAACTTAGTGAAATTTACTTAATTTAATTTGTTCCGGGAGGCTATTTGAGAAGCCATGGGTCCATGACAGAGAATCAAAGATTCAGATTTAAGCTTTTTTTATAATCAATCAATCAATCAATCAGCAAAGCATTTAATGGGAATTTTTTGAGGCTTTATCATCCTCTTGGTGCCAGGAGAAATATAGGAAAACTATACGGCACTGTCCTCGGAGAGATAAATATTGGTGGGTAAATTCACATGAAAAACAACAAAAGAAACAAAAATACAACAAAAGAAACAAAAGTACAGCAAATGACTATGTTGAATCATTCATTTATTCATGCGGGTGTCCTGACTGGAAAAGCACAGAATGGGCATTGCCAGGAAAGGAAAACCTGCAATATTAGAAGATTTCATGGAGACTGTGAACTTTGCTCTGACCCTTGGAGCAAAAGGGAACCTTTTACTGAAGAAATTAAGAGAAAGTAATGGGGTGAGAGAGGACCAAGACAAAATGATAGGTACAAATGTGGTACATAGATGGAGTCAAGGACATAGGTCTGCCCTGGTTATGAAGGAAGAATCTGAAAGTCTACAGTAGCCACTAGCCAAACGTGCTGACATTGATTAAGATTAAATAAAGTTAAACATTCAGTTCCTCAGTCAACCAGCCACCTTTCAAATACAACACTGACACATGGAAGTAGTGGCTACCATCTGGGACAGCATAAAAGACAATTTCCACCGTTGCAGAAAGTTCTATTGGACAAATTTATGAAAAGGTATTTATACTTAGTTAAGAATTAGGAAAATTTGGAGTATGAGGATAGCATGATGAAAAAGATATTTAAGGAAGTATTTTAGAGATATAGGGGATGCATTTCCAAAGTCTTTGCAGGAATATGTAATAACCTGCAACAACACAGGGTGAACCAGAATTAATAAACATGGCCTTGAATAAATTTATTGTTCGTGTCATAGAGCTCTGCAGCCTGAGGATAAGCTACCCTACTAAAACATGTTGGACTTGTAACGTCTATGATTCTAATCCCTCGGGTGATATGAAAAGGTGTGATATACTACAACTGTTCAGACTCAGAGAGATTGGTCTATATGCTGACTGAAATAAAGAATCGCTCCAATAACTATTAGTGCATGTGAACAAGAACTATGAAAAAAGTAGTTGATATGTTTTAGACACAGAATTACTATTCTCAAGTTGAAATTTTTTCCCTTAATTCTGTTACACTGTCTTTCAAATTTAAAAAAATTAAATGTAGAGTCCAATTGGAATCTATCACCATCCTTCATGAGACATGCTCACACTAATGGGTCACATGGCCCTAAATGATTTAGTATGAAGAATTAGAACCAAAATGCTGGGCCATTCTGGCTACAGTTACCAAGTTTTCACAACTGTTTGGAAATCTTTTGATATAATTTGTAGGCTGCCTAAAGGCAAGCAGACAGCCAACGTTGCCATTGATGTAGCGCATCTATATATTTCTTAATTATTTAGGCCAAGCTACTCCCTTCCTGATACCATTACATACACACACACACAAACAAACACACACACACACGAGTCAGTCTCTACTAGCAAATGAAACCTGCTCATTCAACAAGGGTCTTAGACATTTTAATAATATTCCTAAAAGAATACTAGATTTTAGACTAATTTTCCTTAGTAAAATTTACTTGGTGAGGTTACTGAGCTCACCTAACCTAGAGCCTGTTGGCAATGCCACAGCTCAAGATCATACTAGAGCATTCCATTTAATTCACATCAGATTGAAATACAATATGGAAGGTAAACACTGATTTCCAAGACTAGGAGAGCAGCTAAAATATTCCAAATGCAGTGGGAATAATCTTCATATATAGTTTCTGGTAAGTTACTTTCTCATGCACCTAAAAATAAAACCCCCAATACAATAGCTTCCTTTCACCAGCCTCTTTATCTACAACACAAACACAACTGATAACACATCCCCCAAATAGCATGATGGCTCGCTGACATTGGACAACATCCACGGACTCTTCTGTGACTAATGGAATATTTCTACGCCAAGTAAGAAAAACATCAGGGCAACCCTTCAGTGAAAAAGCATGTACTCACATTCCCATGTGGAGTGATTTTAAAACAAACACGCAAGCGGAGATCACTGTTTCTGTAAATTCTATGGGCACAGGAGAAGAATAAGTACAAAGTACATATACACACACTTGATTATTGAAAATACAAATTCTTTCTTGAATATTCAATCAGACAAGGTCGAAGAAAGTTGTATTGTTTTTTAAAAGCACAGGCAGACAACTTTAGCCACCCTTTGGGAAGGTTACAAACTAGAAGAGGTCAAGGTGAAAACTTTAAAAAATTGGAAGTTCCCACACAAAAATCTCTTCATTCCTTATAAATATTTAATTTTTTTAAACAGACTATTTTTTAAAAATATATATTTTATTGATTTTTTTTACAGAGAGGAAGGGAGAGAGATAGAGAGTTAGAAACATCGATGAGAGAGAAACATCAATCAGCTGCCTCCTGCACATCTCCTACTGGGGATGTGCCTGCAACCAAGGTACATGCCCTTGACCGGAATCGAACCAGGGATCTTTCAGTCTGCAGGCCGATGCTCTATCCACTGAGCCAAACCGGTTTGAGCTAAATATTTAATTTTTAAGATCAAAACTAAAACAGCTAAGTGTCACAAAAAAAAATTCCTCCACATACCTAGACCAATGGTTTATTAAAACCTGCTCATAATAAAAGACACAAACACATTTTTAAAAATAGCCGTCAACTCACAGTTCAATTCATTTATCCCACTTTAAAAGGAAATAGAGAACAAAAGTTAGCTGAGGGGCCCAGCCGGTTTGGCTCAGTGGGTGAGCGTTGACCCCTGAACCAAGAGGTTACTGGTTCGATTCCCAGTGGGGACACTTTCCTGGGATGCCTGGTGGCGGCTGTGGCTTGATCCCCAGTGGGGGTGTGCAGAAGACAGCCTGGATGTGTTTCTCTCTCATCGATATTTCTCTCTCTCTATCCCTCTCCCTTCCTCACTCTCTAAAATCAACAAAAACATATTTAAAAAATAAAAAAAAATTCAACAGATCTTAAATAAAATTTGTTTCTAAATTTAAAATGAACTTAGCCGGGGGTTCTGGATTGGGGTTCTTGCTACTAACGAGAGCGCGGGCACTCACCTCGGAGGTGCCGTCCTTGAAGCTCTCGCTGTAGGTGCTGTCCGGGGTGCTGCGCTGGTCATCCTTGAGGTAGGGGCCGTGGCTGGCCATGGCGGGCGCGCCGTACTGCGTCTGTTCAAAGATCACCACGCGCTGCTCCTCCCCGTCTCCCCGGGGATAGTGCACGGGCGGGGCCATGAAAACGGGCGTGAAGTCTTCGGCTTTCACCACCGTGATCCCCGACACGGGGATGATGGCCGGGCTCTCGGGGACGCTGGCGCTGTACTGCTCCCGCTTGGAATTCTCCAGGTGGTCTTGGTTTAGGGACAGGTTCACGGGGACAGTCTTTAGGACCTGGACTCGGTTCTCTCCTCCGCTCAAGTTACTCTGGGCTTCGCTGGTGCCGAGACAGTTCCTGTGCGTTGAAACCCACCCCAAAATCGGATAGAGTTAGAAAGCTCGCGGTTTTGCAGCCCTTGATAAAATAACGGTTCAGGCGATGATCAGTGGGTATGAACGTATCCTAATCAGAGGAGAGGCTGATGGCGAACTTCACAATGGGATCCAAAGGCTCCCTGCATCCCTAGGACAACTACACGTGTGTGCCTCCTGCAACCAGCCCCACCTAGCAAGTGCTACCACTTTAAAAAAAAATAAAAAAAAAGTTGACCTTAATTCTAAGCAAGCCTTTACATCTAACTTCCAGCTCTCGGGCAACACAGGAACTAGAAGAAAGACTTTGCCAACATCATAAAGAAGCGATCAGACAAACCAGAAAGCCGCACGCACGTCCTACGGACCTGGCTTCCTCAGTAAGTCAGAGGCATGAAAAAGGGAGAAGGATGGGGGGCTTACTCTAGACTAGCAGAAATTTAAAAAGACATAACAATCAAATATGATGAGAAGGTCTTGTTTGGATCCCGATCTGAACAAACCAAAGAGGCATTTATGTGGCAACAGGATTTTTGAGGCAATTGGATATGGACTGGGTGTTAGGTGATATTAAGGAAATATGTTAATTTAGTTAGGGGTGGTAAGGATTTTGAGATTATGTAATGAAGTGTCCTGGGTTTTTTAGATATACAAATCAGAAGGAGTCGCGGTAAAATGACATGACTTATTTTAAATTCTATTGCCATCGAAAAAAGAAAAGGAAGGGAAGAGAAAAGGTAGAGATTAAGCAAGTGTAACAAGCGTTATCACTGCTGGATCAAGAGGATCAGATGGGCATTTGGGGGTCACTACATGGTCCTCTTTATTTCTGCAGATGTTTGAAAACTTTCAAAAGAAAAGATTTTAAAATAGTTTTATTAAAAAAGGCAGGAGAACTAATATGGTCATTTGAGGGCGGGTGAGAAGGATATTTTCCACTTCCCTGTGGACTACACTAAAATTTAGAAATTGTAGGAAAAGTAAGAAGTGAGAATTTATCATTTAAATATTTTCACTAAATGAAGGAGTAACGTGAGCTCACTCATAGCCTTAGCACTGAATTACATTCGGGGCTTAAGGAAGTGGTGTAACTGTAAAAGAAGATCTCTCAGATCTCAGACCTCCTGGCTGGTACAAAGAGAAAGGAGGATTTAGAAAATTAATTCTTGCCAGGCTAGAATATTTTCATTTACACTAAAGAATTCTGGGAGAGAGCAGAAGCAGAGAGAGACTGGTTGATGGAAGATTATTATTGATAACAAAATGATTTTACTAGCAAAGTCTCTGTGGTCAGTAAAATCTGAGGCCACCTCTCACTTACTTATTGATTACTCTGATGGATATCCAGAGAAAATACATGTCTTGCATGGAGCCCTGTCCCCGCTGTCTGCTTTATTTAAACTAGCATGTTCCTTGTAGGGCTTCCCAGCATCTCTCACAGAGAGAGATATTCTAATAAAATTGGTTCTCCCAAGAGTTGAGCTCTCTTGGCTCCTCTCTATAAAGGAAGTCCATTCGCTTCTGAGCTTGCCTAACTCTCAAGCAGGACTTGGTATTTCAGCTTTGATTTTTCAGATAAAACTTCAAAGTGAAGCTGGAGGAAAGAATAGCTCCGCCTGGACACAGCCAACAGAAAAAATATCTCCACTTCTCTGAGTCTGTCACAGAACTGTACAAATCATTCTAGAAAATAACCCTTTAAAGAATAAAATCGCAAGTCTGCAAACATTCTGGCTTTAAGTAATAACCTGCTTTCGTGGCCAAATCTTTTACCCCAGACCTTTTTGTGGAGGATTAACTATTAATACTGGTGGGTAATGTCCTGCAAGTTGAGTGTAGAAGTGTTGGTCTACATTTATTAGCTACCAAAGCAATTACCCAGTTTCCACTCCTCTGGGCTTGGAACTAGTGTGGTCTTAATGGCTTTGCCAAAATATGACAAGTTAACCAACTCCTCTATAGGTAAAGAGTTCATTTTCGTCCACAGTTCTTAATTCTTTAATTCATATAAAATGCCGGAATTCTAAACAAAAAGTAAGTCAGGGATCTTTGGTGTTACTAGAGATGAGCAAACGATGGAGTTGTATAAATCTAGCTGAGTCATTATTATAGGATGAGGAGATAGCAGGCTCAGCAGCATCCTATAACGTGCAGCTGGGCCTCTGTAGGACAGCATTGCCTTTCAAAGCTGATGCGGGCGAACTTCTAGAACAGTGGTTCTCAACCTGTGGGTCACGACCCCTTTGGAGGTTGAACAGCCCTTTCACAGGAGTCACCTAAGACCATCGGAAAACACATATATAATTACATATTGTTTTTGTGATTAATCACTATGCTTTAATGATGTTTAATTTGTAAAAATTAAAAATCATCCTGCATATCAGATATTCACATTATGATTCATAACAGTAGCAAAATTACACTTATGAAGTAGCAACGAAAATAATTTTATGGTTGGGGGTCACCACAACATGAGGAACTGTATTAAAGGGTCGCGGCATTAGGAAGGTTGAGAACCACTGTTCTAGAAAGACATCCAAAAAATGGATGATTAAAACAAAGTAAGAATTATTGTGAGACACCAACTCACCTGCAATATAATTTAAAACTGAACCAAATATTATAAAAGGAGAAAAATGCAATGCTAAGAATGGTGCATTCAATATACTTTAAAAAAATTTTTTTTGGATTATGTCATTGAAAGTCTGTTTTCCAAAGAAGCAACTTCCGTATGCAGTTGTAATGATATCATGTTAGCACGTGGGACCTTAATTCATGAATGCACCGCCGATCAAATGATATGCTCCCAAATTCCATTCAGCCAGCGTCTACTAAGTCACAATTAGTCTATACAAGGTGGTTTTGTGTACCCTCACTGCCAGCTTTCTTAAAGGTATTCCATTAAAATCACAAAAATAACCATTAAAATACAATGAGCGCCTGTCACTTGAAAGGTGTTCTGAAAAATGCTTTCATAAAACATGGTTCTTTTGTCTATTATGATGCAGACAGAGTACACATCCGAGACTCATTTGCGCTCCCATCCCTCTATGATTGCTGATATTGGACCTTGCAGACAGCATAGTCTTAGCTTAATAAATAGTGGCTAGATGGAGGAAAAGTTACAGGGCCTGAAGAGTGGCAGCCTTCTATTCCCGGTCATCACTACTGCCAACCAGGACCCAGGGCCCACGGCAGCGTGGGGCATCAGCAGGTCCCTAGCTGAATCAGATGAGCTAGTCATAATCATCTGCTGGGGCACACCTTGGAGATGATGCACAGCTTAGGGCTGCTAGTTGGTGGGGTGGCCCCCACTGCTAGTCATATAATAAGATCATAATGTCACCAGCAGTCCCTATCAAGGCCAGGTAAGAGTCTGCCATAAGTGCCAGCAGGGGATTTCATTTCTCCTGGCTTCATATTTCCATTTGAAAAAAAACTGCAGTAGAGAAATACTGTGGGGGCGCCCTCCCTTCTGCTGTGGAAGAGACGTATTTGGCCGCTTAGGAAGAAGTAGCTGAGCAAGATGGTTCAGTCCCTTCTAGTTTCCTCCTTATGTCGGGATCATCTTGGTCAAAAAGAGGTCACGCCAGTCACCACGGACATACCACAAGGGGTCTGTCCCTTCAGGGAGGCCTGAAGTCCTGCCCGGGACCAGATGAGTAAGCGTACCTAAGGCGGGACTGAAATGATACAGACTGCGGATTCCAAATAGCACTTCCTCCGAAATAAAACTTTTTTTTCCCTTTTTAACTTCAATCTGTAGGACTGTATCCTGTTTCCCAATTGGTTCTTATGTCAAGATTGCAGGAAAGTATTACGTAATGATCTCCCTGACATCTGTCCTGTGCCTCCTCCCTGACAGTGTCCACTGCTACCCAGAGCCCCTTCCTCCACCTCATCCAAAGCAAGCTCCAGGTGCGATCCCCTCAGGAGCCTGATCACAGTGATACAGCCGTGGGAGTGGCAGAAACCTCACCTCGGCCGTGGGCTATCATCTAACTCACCTCTAACTATGGGGACTTTCAGCCTCCTCGGAAGGGGGTAGGTATATCAAGAGCCTGCTCGTGACCCTTCGGATGCACAATCAAAAAAATGCAATTTTCTCTCCCTACTGAGAGATCGGGATTTGGCCCAGACTCCCAAAGACAGAGGAGGCTATGACCCTATCTCCTATAGCTTAGTTTTGGCCCAGACTCCCAAAGACAGTTAGAGGAGGCTATGACCCTATCTCCTATAGCTTAGTGCTGTTTGAAAAACAAAAAAAAGCAAACAAGAACATCAAACAAGAGATGTTTGGAAGCCAGGCATCTTCCTTTAACTAACACGGTACCTTTTGTCCTGATCTTCTTGGCTGTCACTTGCTTTGCTCACAGACAGCAGCCTCTTGTCCCGAGGAACCTGGGAATGTCAGAAACCATCAGTGAGACTTACACAGATGCAGCTGTGACCACGTGCAGTGCTAGAAACCAATAGGAGCAGAAAAACTGGAACAGGGCACTCTCCAGAGGAAGGCGGCAGACTTGCTATAGCCAGGGGCTGGTTAAAGGTGGAGTAGGTGCGACAACAGTGGGCCAGACACAAAGGGGTGATGCTAAATGGAGGGCCACACAATCATGATTCTGCTGTGCATTGCTGACACGGACAACCGTCCTGAACCTGAGCCACTCCTCAGCCCTGCCCACCTTGGGAGGGGATGGGGGAAAGGAATACAATAAATGAAGGATGGATCTGGACATCTGTGCCCTACAGCAGACAGGAACCATCTTGGAGTTACAACAAGCACCCTATTATGGAACAGGCACTGACCCTCTACTCTGATGAGGGGCTGCAGGTGCTGACATGAAGGGGAGCAAACTGGGCAGGGGCTGCACTGTCCAGTGAAGAGAGCAGTGTCTGGCATACCTGGACCACCCTTTACCATCCTCTCTACATGGTTCAGGGACCTGCTTCCACAGTTTTTTTCTTCTAACACACTTTTATTGTCTACACAGGCACAATGCCGATACACTGCCTGAAACATGATTGGAAAAGTACTACTTGGGAGAGGCACACCCCACCAGCAGTTTCTGATCACCTTCTAATCACCCTACTGCAGCTCAGATTGTTTGCATATCTCTGCCATAGTGTTCACACATGGAAATAGCAGGTTTGGATTTGGTTGGTTGGATAATTTTGGGGGGCTGGGGGTGTTTTACTTTGTTCTTTCTAGATCTTCCTTCTAGCCAAACTCCTCTGCATCTAAAATGCAGTCCTCACTATTTTGACATAAAAGAGCATTTATGAGACGTGTTTCTCTTCTGAATTCCCCTAGCAATTCTTACAATTTCCACTCACCTGGATTATATGCCAGCCCAGTCAACTGGACTAAGGAGACATCATAGCAGGGTGGCTAAGAGTCAAGACCTACTCTGGGTTCGAATCTCCAGCTCTACCACTAACTAAACTCTGCCTCACTTTCCTTATCTATAAAACAGGCTTTATGGTAGCTTTAGACCTCACAGTTTTCAGTAAAATTAGATGAGTTAATTTTTTAGAAGCATTTAGATTGTATGATACAAGTATCCTATATAATAAAAGGCTAATATGCAAATAGACCGAACTGCAGAACAACCGAACAACCAGTCGCTATGACATGTGCTGATCACCATGGGGTGCACGTGGAACATGGCGGGCATCGGCCACAACAGGATGGTGGAGTAGGTGAGTGGGGGCACCAGACCAAGATGGGGCACCAGTTTCTGTCATCGGGGGCAAGCCTCTGGTGGTTACTAAAAATTCGTTGCTCCCATGTGCTGCAGTTGGGCCCAGCGCTTGCACCTGCTGCTGGCACTGGTTCTGCTCGCACCCGCTGCCGGCGCCCAGCACTGGCCCCAATTGCTCAGCGCCATCAGCAGGTGTGAGCAGTGGCTGCCGGCCCCAATCGCTCCTGAGGGCTTTTGCACCTTCTCCTGCTCCTGAGGGGTGATTGGGGCCAGCAGCCGCCACTCACACCCACTAATGGTGCTGAGCGATTGGGGCTGGTGCCAGTAGTGGGTGCGAGTGGAGCCGATGCCGTCAGCTCATGGGAGCAGCGGTGGGAATAGGGCTGCCAGCAGACAGAGGACTGGGAAGTGTGGTGGAAGGGGCCAGCTGAGGGCCCGGAGGATGGGCCGAGACCCGCCCCTGTGCCCTCCGCAGCCTCACAGCCCACAGTTCCTTTCAAGGTGCATGATGGGCCCCTAGTTTCTTAAATAAAAATAAAATAAATCAACTATAAATTCTTCATTCACATGTCAATGTTGAGAGTCTACATGCAACACTCCTGGCATTGCTAAATGCTGGGTAGAAATGAGATTAATAAAACATTGTTCCTATCATCTACTAAAGATAATATATAAACATAAAAATTCAATACACAGCACAACCATGTTCATAGCAGCATTACTCACAATAGCCAAAAGGTGGAAACCCCAATGTCCATATATAGATATATGGATAAACAAAATGTGGTATATACATACAATGGAATATTATTCAGCCTCAACAATGAAATTCTGATACCTGCTATAATATAAACAAGCATTAAAGACATTACAAGCCTGGTTGGAGTGGCTCAGGGGTTGAGCTCAACCTATGAATCGGGAGGTCAGGGATCGATTCCCAGTCAGGGCATGTGCCCCAGTTGCAGGCTCAATCCCCACTGGGGGATGTGCAGGAGGCAGCCAATCAATGATTCTCTCTCATTATTGATGTTTCTATCTCTCTCTCCCTCTCCTTTCCTCTCTCAAATAAATAAAAATATATTTTTAAAAACTTTTAAAAATAGATAACGACCTTACAATAAATTCCATGGGACTTAAATCCACGTACCTCCCTCTGAATGCCTGCTTCCTGGTTCAGCCACCAACAGCCCTATTTTCTTATTCTTCTTAAAGAAGACGCTTTAACATTTCATGTAATACTGGTTTGGTGGTGACAAACTCCTTTAGCTTATTCTTGTCTGGGAAGTTCTTTATCTGTCCTTTGATTCTAAATAATAGCTTTGCTGGGTAGAGTAATCTTGGTTATAGGTCCTTGCTTTTTATCTCTTTGAATATTTCTTATCAATCCCTTCTGGCCTGCAAACTTTCTGTTGAGAAATCAGTTGACATTCTTATGGGAGCTCCTTTGTAGAAAGTAACTGACTGCTTTCCCCTTACTGCTTTTAAGATTCTCCCTTTGTCTTTAACTTTTTACATTTTAATTATGATTGCATTTTGGTGTGGGCCTCTTTGTGTTCATCTTGTTTGGGACCTTTTGTATTTTCTGGACTTGTATGACTACTTCCTTCACCAGGTTAGGGAAGTTTTCTGTCATTTTTTTCAAATATGTTCTCTCTCTCTCTCTCTCTCTCTCTCTCTCTCTTCCTTCCAGCCACTATCCTCATTTTTGGATTTATTTTCCTTTTTGCTGTTATGATTGGTTGTTTTCTGCTTACTTATATTCCAAATCTCTGATTTAACCCTCTGCTTCATCTATTCCACTGTTGATTCCCTGTAAATGTAGTCTTAATTTTAGTTAGTGTATCCTTCATTTCTGACTGGCTCTTTTTTATGCTTTCTGTCTCCATTTTTATATTTCCTATCTCTTTGTTGAGATTCTCACTGAATTCACTGAGCACACTTACTAGTTCACTTAGTTCATTGAACTCTGCATCTAGTAGATTGCTTGTCTCCATTTTGTTTAGTTCTTTTTCTGGAGTTTTGTTCTGTTCTTTCATTTGGGACATGTTTCTTTGTCTCCTCATTTTGGCAGCCTCCCTGTGTTGCTTCTATATATTAAGCAGAGCTGCTGTCTCCCAGGCTTGGTAGACTGGCCTAGTGCAGCAGGTGTTCTGAGTCCACTGGCACAGCCTCCCTGATCACCCAAGCTGGGCACTTGAGGTGTGCCCCATGTGGGCTATGTATATCCTCCTCATGTAGTTGAACCTTGATTATTGTTGGCACATCAATGGGAGATATTTACTCCCAGGCTGATCAGCTGTAAGGGCTGGCTGTGACCACAAACCACTGGCCACTGATCTCTGACCACAGTGCATCACCACCCCACAGAGCAGGACTTATTCAGTAGGGCTCTGATGCCTGAGAAGTCTGGCCCTTGAGTGTGTCACATGTGGAGGTTGCTGGGTGGCAATACTTTGACGTGATCTGAAGCTGTCCACTGTGTACGCTGGCTCTGGGCCTCCCCTGAGGTGCAGGCCAGGGCTAACTGCCACCTGTGTTCTGCCCAGGGCCACATGGCATGAGCTACAAAGTGATCTGCAGATAGCTGCTACTTGTGGTGGGCTTGGAGGTGCCCAGGTGAGGCAAAGCTGCAAACCAAAGCCAGCTGCTGCTAGTGCAGGACTGAGCCACTTAGCAAGAGGGGGCATGCTGAGGCCAGATGCTACTTGTTTGAGAGATTTTAGGAAAATCTGAAGCATGAGCCACTGGAAACAGCTTGGGTGAGCCTGAAAGTTGGGTGGGGCAGGACCTTAGTGAATCACCAGGGCGGGGCAAACAGTGATAGCCAGGTTGATGGAGTGTCAGATATGGTGCCCGGCTGATGGTTCTGTGTGGAGGAAGGGCTCATCAAAGGAACAATGGCCTCTGCTAGCACTTCTGTATGGGAGAAAGCCACCCTCCCAGCTCTCTCACCTATGCTGAACAATTCAGTTCCTCCCTCTATGTTTCTGGTGCCTTTCAAGCTGCTGCCCCAGCACTGGAGCTCAGGGGGAGTGAATCTGAGTTAAGTTGGTGCATTTGGGGCCCTTTAAGAAGAACTGCCTGGGACTCCAGCAGCATCAGTCTCCCTCAACCTCAATCCCTTCTGGATTTTATAGCCAGAAGTTATGGGGACTTCTCTTCCTGGCACTGGAACCCTGGGCTGGGGGGCCTGGTGTGTGGCTTCTGCAGCTGAGATGTACCTCCCTTTTTTTTTTTTTAATCTATTTTTTTATATCTTCACCCAAGGATATTTTTCCCATTGTGTTTTAGAGAGAGTAGGAGAGAGGGAGGGAGTGAGGGAGGGAGGTGAAAGAGAGAGAATGATCGATGTGAGAGAGATACATCAATTGGTTTCCTTCAGCACCACGAGCCCTGACCAGATGGAGGATTGAACCTGCAACTCAGGTACGCGTGCCTTTGAGTGGGAATCAAACCCGCGACCCTTCAGTGCATGGGTCGACAGGACTGGCCAGCGCTCCCTCCTGATTTTTATCTGCCGCACTTGGGTGTGGGACCAGCCTCTTCCATGTCTCCCCACTCCTATCAGTCTTAATGCGGCTTCTTCTTTAATTTCTTAGTTGTCGGACTACTATTCAGCCAGATTTCAGGCAGTTCTGAATGATGGCTGTTGTGTAGTATAGTGATAATTTTGATGTGGTTGTGGGAGGAGACAAGTACCACATATACCACCATCTTGCCCGGAAGTCCAAAAAAAATTTTTATTGGTGAACACTGAATTGTGTATTCCCAAAGTTCATAAGTTGATGCCCTAAACCCAAATGTGACTATATTTGGAAATAGGGACATCAAGGAGGTAATTAAGGTTAAGTGAAGTCTTAAGCCCAGTAGGGCTGATGTCCTTATAAGAAAAGGAAAAGACACCAGGGTACACACACAGAGAAAAAGTCATGTCAGGACACAGCAAGAAGATGGCCATCTGCAAGCAAGAAATAAAGAGCAGTCTCACTAGAAACCAACCCTACCAGCACCGTGATCTCAGACTTCCAGCCTCCAGAACTCTGAGAGAGAAAAAAAATCCGTTGTTTAAGCCACCCAGTTGTGGCAATTTGTTATGGCAGCCTGAGCAAACTAAAACTGTATAATGGAATAGACATTAAGAAATGTACAGAATTGACCTGTGACCTTGAGTAAATCCCACTTAGTTACTTGAACTATAAACCATAAAACAGGATAGGGTTCCCTGCTGTGATCCTGTGGTGACAGTTTAAAAATGTAGGCAAAAAGACTTCCATTTCTTCTCCAAGGAAACACAGATGGCAGATGATGCAGGTGCTGCAGAAGGGCCTGGGGCCCAGGGCCCTGGAACGGGAGGCTGCAGTGGTTGGGTGCATGATGTGGCAGTGGCATCCAGGCCTGGGTCACTGGTCATGTTCAGGGCCAGGACTGGGGCTGCAGAGCTCCCAGAGGCAAGGCCAGGGACAAAGACATGAAGATCAAGTCCCTGGAGGAGATCTATCTCTTCTCCTTGCCCATCAAGGGATCTGAGATCATTGACTTTTTCCTGGAGGCAACGCCAAGGAAGAGGTTTTGAACATAAAGCCAGTACAAACGCAGACCCGTGCTGGTCAAAGGCATTTGTGGCCACTGGGGGACTACAATGGACATGTCAGTCTAGATGCTAAGTGCCCTGAGGAAGTAGCCACTGTCATCTGTGAAGCCATCATCCTAGCCAAGCTCTTTACTGTCCCGTGCAATGAGGCTACTAGGGGAACAAGATTGGCAAGCCCCACACTGGCTTGTAAGGTGAGCACCGCTGTGGCTCTGTGATGGTGCCCCCAGGGACACAGGCCTCGTCTCAGTCCCCATGCCCAAGAGGCTGCTTCTGATGGCTGGTATCCATGACTGCTACACCTCAGCCAGGGGCTGCACTGCCATCGGGGCAACTTCACCAAGGCCACCTCTAAGACCTACAGCTATCTCACCCCCAAGCTCTGGAAAGAGACTGTGCACCACGCCTCCCTGTCAGGAATTCACTGACCACCTTGTAAAGACCCACACCGGAGTTTCTATGCAGTTTCTGTGCAGAGGATCCAGGTTCCAGCTGTGACCTACCACATAATTCCATACAAGAAAAATAAATAAATAAAGTGAATTAAGCATTTTTTTTAAAAAAGACTTTAAAATGTATACAGTATAATACTGTGATATGCCGATGCCAGCTTCTAAGGACAGGGACCACCATTTCCTTAGTGCCTACTGTGTGTCACACACACGCCTCTCTGACAAAGCCCACCACTGTCCCCTAAGGGATAAGGCACTCCAGGCAGAGGAGTAAGGAATAATGGTGTCGATCACAGAAAGAATCAAAGAGCATTCCAAAGAGGTAGTAAACGTGTATAAAATGTAAATAATAACGTGGAGAGAATTATTACAATGACTTCCCAACGTTTTTCTCCAAAAACTAAACTCTTTTTAATAACATTTTTCCTTACTACAAAAGAGTCTATCCTCAATGTAGATTAAACTTCGCTATAACTTTAACATCAGCCTATATAAACAGGAACATCCAAAGGGCTCAGGTGTGAAAATGATCATTTGGACACAAAATTTTTGGAAACAAGACTAACCCTTTAATGTTTTTAATGTTTCAAGCAAATATAGTGAAGCTTATATAAAATAAACAAAGCCATGTTATTATATTAATCTACAAAGGCTTAGGAAATACTTTATTTAAATATTTTATATCCTAAATTAGTAAATTAATCGTGGAAAATAATCATTCAGCAGAAAGAGTTACAGACTTGGCTACAAATGGAGTTTTATGGAAAGTGTCTACTCTGCATCTCTAAGTATTTACAAAAAGCAATATTTCATCTCCTTTAAATATTAAAAATGTACAACAGGTGAGGTAATCCAGGTGACATATTTACTAATAATTATTCTCTGGGAAATAAAATACATTGTTTCCATAAATTCTAATGATTTTTGTTTTGATCTGTTTTTCTTTTTTCATTAATACAAAACAATAACCCTCTAGTAAAGATATATGAAATTATGACCATTCCACAGTAATGGAATAAAATCTACTTTAAAAATGGAGCAATATATTTCTTCAAAATATATTTAATATATTTCCTCCTAGCCTCATGAAACTATTAACAACATTATTTTAATATAGTTATAAAAGTTGCAGAAAAGAAGTTGTAATGACCCAAGTAATTAAATCAGGGTCACTTTAATGATGTGTTACTAGATTTTAAAAATTGATGAAACTATCGAGTGTTGACTATTTCTTTTTATCATGAAGGAAACGGTTTGTGATTTCTTTCTAAGGATGAGGCCTTTTCGGAACATTCTGTATTACCACAAATGTCCATTAAGCTGAACCTTCAAGGACTGGCCTAGTACATGAGTCTAACTGATACATTCTGTGTTTGGGGACCATCCTCCATAAATTTTGAAATTTTTACTCCAAAACATGTAGAATTCATCTTTGTATTTTTTCAAATGAGCTCCTCAGTCAAAAAAGAATTAAAAGTATAAAACAACCACAAACAAAGAAAAGGAGAAAGAAAAGCCTACCACGAAACCATTTTTGTTTTTCAGGCTCTTTTTTTTTTTCAGGTGCTGCCTGTTCACTGGAGGAAACTGCCCTATTTACATGAAATGTAGTTTAGGCTCTAATGCATGCTTTCATCTCGAGTCCAAGCCCCGCAAAATTAAAACCCTTTCTTGCTATGTCAGCAGCCACAGTGGGAGTTCTATACCTTCCCAAGATGACTGGAACAAAGAAAAGGAGAAAGAAAAGCCTACCATGAAACCATCTTTGTTTTTCAGGCTCTTTTTTTTTTTTTTTCAGGTGCTGCCTGTTCACTGGAGGAAACTGCCCTATGTACATGAAATGTAGTTTAGGCTCTAACACATGCTTTCATCTCGAGTCCAAGCCCCGCAAAATTAAAACCCTTTCTTGCTATGTCAGCAGCCACAGTGGGAGTTCTATACCTTCCCAAGATGACTGTCAAAATCTGCCAACTCCACTCTCTTGGTAAGGGGGGGAAATCAGCATAGATGGGCAAGGGTACCAGTGGAAAATCCTTCATCTATAGGGCATCTCAAAAAAATGTATACACACACTTTGAATAATTATAAAGGCAGTGTTTACTAAAATACATTTCATTTTCAAAATTGAGCTATCAGCTATTAAAGTGTGTATACATTTTTTGTGTATACATTTTGAAAAGATTTGTTTATTTGAGTTAATAATATCCTCATTCAATTTCGCCTCAATGGCCTGACCTGTCAGTTACTCATATCTTGCCTTGCATCTTAGATAAGGCCAGCGTGGCTTGGCTCTCATTCATCTCCCCACAGAGGAGCCTTCGGTGTGTTTTAATGGGGAAAATGGGAAGAAGCTGGAAGAGTTGTTGTTGGTGTGTGTGTGTGTGTGTGTGTGTGTGTGTAGGGGGGCGGGGGGCAGATCTTTGGAAAGCATGGAAACTCTGGTTTAGGAGAGGAACAGGGACAACTCAACTTGGAAAAGTAGAGGCGGCTGAAAGGAAACAGGAAGTGGTAAGCAGGAAGGAAATAGGAAACCAAGACCGAAACTTACTAAAAGGAAAATGGTTTCTCTTAGGTTATTTTCTCATGATAGAGAGAGTGGGGGGATGTGGGCAGTCAGTTCTTATTCTCAAATAAGAAGTTCACTGTGCCCAACCAGCCAAATAAACACCACCAGTCTCACCTTTGAGCCAAATCCCAGCATTAGCCAATGCTGTTTACAATCAAAGCGGCAATAAATCTCCTCATTCAGTAAATACTGGCTGATTTTTTTACACTTCACTGGTCCTAAGGGAGCAGGTCATATCAGATACATAGTCTTTTATAGTTGAGACAGATCGCTGTTTGTTGTTTGATTTCTTGAAATACTCCTATTTTGAAGGTGTCTTATGGCAGGTATTTTTGTCATATAAGTGTATTACACTTATTTTAAGGGTCCTTCAAAATATTTAGTACCCACCAAAACAAATGGAAACAGAATTGTAACAAACTTTAGGTTCTGAAATGGCTACAAAGGTCTACCCCAAAAGCATTCATTGAAATAGTCCTTATAAACCTGAAAAGTCTAAAACCCCTGAATGTTCTTTATAAAATAGAAATCTAAAAGCAGCCGAAATGACCAACAACTGAGCAATCACTAAATTAATATAATTAATATTACGACACAATGTAATATTCTTAATCACTAAAAACAATAATCAGGTTAAAGTGTTTGCAATATGACGTGGAATAGGAATTCTACGTAAATAAGATGTCTGCACGTGAACAGAGAACACAGAAGTAATGATCCCAATGAAACCTGCCTCTGGTGGGCGGGAAGCTGTGCTTCATCAATGGGAAACCAGTGAGGCAATGAGCACAGGGAGAGGCTGAATTCCACAGAAGTGTGGAAATACCACTTGTTCTCTGGCCTGGGATAAAGGCTCTGTCCTTCTTCTCACACTGAGGGGAGGCCCTGGGGGCTGAAGAGGAGGGAGGCGGGGCTGCGGGATCTACCTTGTAGTAGTCATACAGCAGGCCAAGGGCAGCAGCGCTGTCCTCATCACCATTGATGCTCATCATCGCCTTGGTGGCTGCTGTCAGGGGATTCTCCAAATATGACTTCCAGGCTTCATCCTCACTCGTGTAGGCTCTTCGGGTGTTGAACGGAGGGTCCGTGGGCATGGGCACTAAGGCCACCAGTCGTTTATTACTGTAAAAGCAAAAAAAATAAATAAATAAAATGAGGTTCATTATCAGAGAAATATTCCTTTCCCGCTAACACTATACACATTCTATGGTTAATTTGTACTTCCCCAGAATGGAGGGCAAATGAAGATTAAAACCAAAGTGACTGCCACATGGCATTGATAAAGTCCCTGGTTTATATTTTCACTGTCTGTGAGAAGTAATAATGCTCTTTGAAAGGTTGTATAAGCAGAGGAAGTTCATTCCCCTCATACTTGGTTTTTCCATATCCAATTATTCTAGGAGCCAAATCATTTAATTTGATTATTCCTCATTAATGACTATTAGAATGAAACCCTGTGAGGAAGCAGGTTTCATTTCGTTCTGAGGTCTAATTAGAAATATGGGCAATACATAAATGTAATCACACATTAATGATTACTAAAAATTGTCTCATCTAGTTTAATCTACACGTGAAATTGCTAGGGAATTAGAGGCTACTGCAAGTCTCTTAATTAAAAAGGCTATGTAAGCTACTCTGCAAACAAGACTCGTAGATATGCTGCATAATGAGAATAAGAAGCACGATGATGAGACAGTGCTGCCACAGAATCCTACTATAAATGACATAGAAGCTACAGATTACAAAAATCATCAACGGAGCGTGAGGAGTGTGTCTAGAGAACTGGCAGTAGAGATTTCAGCAGAGAGCTGACAGAAAGGGGCTGGGTAAGCGTTTATTAACCCTGACCAAGCCAAACTTGGGTAAAGCAGCAATTGACAAGCAAGGCAATTTCTTAAAGAGGATGTGACAGTGGCTCAAGTGTCCAAAGACCATGACAGTCCTCAGCAGCTCCCCAGTCAGGGCCCCAGCTGTCAAGTGAAGGAGCCTAGAGAGGCGCTGGCACTCATCTGCTGGCCCTCTTTCACTTGTTCATGGAGATGGAAACAAAATGGAACAATGAGACACTGTATTTCAGTAACTCCTATACCAGCTGTGGGCAAACTACGGCCCGC